AAACCCCAAAACCCCAAAACCCCGCTGTTCTAAATTTTTTAATTAAAAAAGTTGAAAATATAATAATTCAAGAAAGAAATATTAAATAACCTGCATTTTAACTTAGTATAATATAGTTTATAAAATATTTGTTTAGTTTCTATGGAATCTGAGAATTAAATTTCTTCTTTAAGCACCGCATAAATGACAAATATAGACATTTCACCACTCGTTAACCTTACTGAATTCAACAGAGTACTTCTTTTATAATAAAGAATTTTAGGTTTTAGAATTAGAGAAAGCAAAAGTGAGTTCATTTATTGAGAATCTAGAAGATAATTCATACATAGATAAAGAGGATACTTCACAAAATCGAAACTTAAATGCTGCTACTCACAACTAACTCGTAAATTAGATTGAATTTACATATTTTAGCCTCTAAGCAGATTAGTGCCGCTCAAAGTAACAAGGAACATATAGAGTCAGGATAAATAGGAATTGAGTCCCTTTTCAGCTGCCTCAAGTTCCAATGGGAGACGAAGTAAAATGGATTAAATGAGAAGCAAACTTCTAGGTAAGACATATTTTAAAATCCAATGTTTATCATCATTAACTGAAACTAAACTATAATCATGATTAGGTAATAAAAATTAGAATGGGGAGGCTATATCCTAAGAATAGAGGTATTCAATGATAAAAGTGAAGTCGAATGTTTTCAAGCAGGAGTACTTTGAGTCCTTGATAAACTCATTTGAATCTAAATACTACTTGGATAACATGCTTGGCTAAGGAATGCATGCCACAGTTTTTAAGTGCTTCAAACTAGATGATATTCATAAAAAGGAACCTTTTGCTGTGAAAATAGTCAGGGATGATGACGATGAGAAGCGATAAGCTCATCAAAACGAATTTGAGATAATGCATAGACTGGAGCATCCAAATATTGTTAAAGGTCTGGAGATATTTATTAATAATCAAAAGAAAGAAATTCACTAAGTTATGAAGTATATTGACGGAAAAGAAATATTAGATTAAATCACAGAGATTGGTGCTTACTCAGAGAAGGAGGCATTGACAATATTCAAGTAAGTGATGGCTGGGATTAAATACCTACATGAAAATGGGATTTGCCACAGAGATATTAAACCTTCAAATATTCTGGTGACCAAGGAACAGCAAGTTTACATTGCGGATTTTAATGTTGCAAGACAAAAAAATGGAGAAATATTTAGGATGATGACGAAGACTGGAACACTTGCACACAGTGCTCCCGAGATATTCACTTCTACCTATTATGAGTAATCTATTTAATTACCTTAATCAAATTTAGCGATAAAGTAGACATTTGGAGTGCTGGAACTGTACTCTATACCTTGTTATCTGGACAACAAGCCTTTGATCATGAAAATGTTTCAAGGCTAATTAGTAAAATTACTCTAGCAGACTTTAGTTTCCGAGACTAAGTGTGGCTGAAAATATCTGAGTAAGCAAAGGATCTTTTGAATAAGATGTTTACTATTGATCCAAGTGAGAGACCCTCTGCAGAGCAAGTGCTTTAACATCCATGGTTCAGCATGAATTTTGATAGCCATCAATAAGAAAATGAACTTAGAGAAGTTGTTTTGGATTTGGAATTAAGAAAAAGCTTAAAGAGTTATGGAAAATTAAGTATATCTTAGATAATATGTGTTGGTAGCATTGATGAAGAGATCCTTAAGAAAGGACTGCAAATATCTGACCTTAACTTTACCAAGAGTCTTACAAGTGCAAATGTGGGTAAAGATGCCTTTTTTGATTAAGCAATATTTGATAAAAACAAACGAGACTTTGAGGATAAATTATTTGATATCTTTTTAGGCGTCTCTGAAGATAAGAATGAAATTACACCTGAAAAAGATGATTTTTTCAGTGTCTGTAGTAATATGGCAGAAGGAGGGTTCAGGTAGTCTAAAACTGCTAGCGAAAAGGAGGTAGGCTTGTCAATCTAGTCATAAAATGTATGAAATCATTCAATGCTCTTTGATTTTCTCCGATTATCGTTCATTTAAAGAGTGGCTTTAACATTATAATTCGAAGACTATCTATTATTGGTTTATATTACAAATATTTGAAACCTTTAATAATTACATATCCATTTAATCAATTAAAAAGCATTGAACTTTTTGATTTAACAAAGAGTTCTCCAAATATTTTAATCTTATTTTATGGGGTTTTGGGGTTTTGGGGG